AAAATCCTGTTTAATAAAATTGCTGCGATTTCAGTGTTTTTTCCTCTTGAAAATGAATGTCTAAATGATGAATTAAAAAAACTCTGTCCAGGTTTTCCAAGAAAGGAAGCTGGCAGTGAAGTCAGGCAAATGTTTTCATCATCTCCATAGTAATTTTAAATGGGCTTTGCCCTCTTTGCTTGTAAAGCATCACATCAACTTGTCTTTAGTCACATCTCAGATCAGCCATGGTAACATCCTCTGCTCTGTTATTTCCCATTATCTGCTCCTACAAACCAGTCATTTTCCAATTACTTCACTGGGAATGTATCAGATTTCAGACTGGACACTGTTGCCTGTGAACATTCCCATTCCAGCCATTTAGATCACTTCACCTGCTGTAACTTGGTAAGTCCTGGTACCAACACCCACCTGTGGAGGCTTGAGTTCAACCCAACTGGGAAAGAAGGAATTTTGTTTGTACCTATTAATTTTCTCACAAAATATATATATTTCTTCCTATAGTGATTTTTTTTTCCCCCTGATGTGCACACATATTAGTTAGTTTATTTATTGAGCTTTTATTCAAGCTGGCCTCTGCATCTTAAAAGATTTGGTCCTTATAAATCACTGGACTTTATTGTACTGTGAGTACAGTAATTTGCAGCCAAAGCAGCTTTTAAAATCCTACCATCAGATGAAGCAGGTTAATATATTAGTTCATTAATTCAAATGAAAAAGCCCCCTTAGATACACTTTTTGCCTGTTAGAGTGCTGCTGATGTGGCTGATAAGAGCCTGTGTTGTGATAAGGTTCTTTGTCATGTGTATAACTCATTTGGAACTCAGATATTTCTGAGTTTTCATTGGAAACAAGTAAAGGAGAGTGAAAATTTTGACTGGCATCACCTACTTTTTCAGCTCTTGAGAACTGACAGCAAGCCCAGCAACATAAAGTAGTCTGATAGGAACACTATTCCCCACTAAGGTTAGTGTTTGATCATTAAGGAGAGAGGCACTCCAAGGGACATTACCATGGACAGCAGAACTACCAGCTGTCAAAGAGATTTTTATTTCATTCAGGTGAAGATTTTAAACTGAATCTGCTTTCCTCATAAAACAGAAGCATTATAAGCAAACCAAGTGATTTTATTTTTTTATTTTCCTACGTGGCACGAGCGAACAGCTGAGAATTAATTTTGAACAAATTAACCAATATTTAATGCTCCATTTTGCTGTCAGTCACTGAAACAAAAATTTTAGTGATGGCTAATGTTAAAAAAGCGTAAGAAATCAAAATGAAACGGAAGAGTGTGACTCAGTTTGGTCTTTGTGGCATCTCCCACTATCTTGTTCTGATTTTCCTGTTATTTGTGTGGGAGCATCACAAAGTGACTTCAGCTGCTGACTGTGACACAGCTGGCCAAGATGTAGGGAACACATGGATCAGGAGGAAGTCCCTTCCCAAGGACTCTGCATTACCCAACAGAGGGAAAAGACCACAGATAGATGTGATGAAGAAATAAGGGACAGAAATGTGAAATAACAGTGGAACAGCTTATGTTTTACCTTCTGAATGGCAGCCACAGTACACCTGCTGCTTCACCGCTGCTGAAAGTTTTGAGGACAACACATTAAATTCTACAAAATTGCTGGGAGGTCAAACTGATCACGCTGATTCCTTTTCATCCTCTGAATCTCCCACTCTAATTGCTCCTCATTTTGGATGTTGTGCAGTAACAAACCCAGATAATCCATTTCGACGCCCCCTGTGCGGTCCTCGAGCAGAGGAGAAAAAAAGAGGAGCAAAAAATTGGAGTAAAAATCTGTCTCTCTCTAAAAAATCAATGGCAAAGCATGTACAGGCTTCAGCAGCATCAGGATTTTTCTCTCAGAGTTTAATTGAAAGTGAAAAAATATTTTTGGAGAAAAATGTGTAACTGCTCAGTTTAAAAGACTCAATAATGTGCCTGGATCTTCCAGGTCTGTGGGCACTGAGAGGGAATTGTTAAATGCAGCTGGTTTTAGGAATGAATTGTTTGTTTTCAGATCACTGGACATATTCTGTATTTCCATGTCTTTGTTTGTTTATTTATTTATCTGTAGGAATGTGGGAATGTGGGATATTGGGCAGAAGAACATTCCTGCTGGTGCACCTGGCTACAATCTTTTCTCTAATCTGCTGTTCTTTGCCATGTCCATGGTGCTTCCCCCTGCCCTGCACTTCTAGCCTGTCAAAGAGGGACCATTACTGCTGCCCAAAAAAACAAAACCTCAAACAAAAATGGGAATTGATAAACTGATCAGAACAATTAGCAATTTTAATTACATAAGGTGCACTACATGTATCAGCTGATACATCACATTAAGGATGAAACAAGAAGTCTGAGAGTGAGGATGGATTTTCTCATTAGCTTCTTGGATGCGGATTAATGAATTTTCTACCTTCACCATCAGCCACAGGCTGGGGGGATGCAGGTCCCTTCACTCTCTCTCGTGTTTTCCTAAAGCCAGTTCTTCCTTCACAATTAGTTGTGTTAATTACCCAGAAAACACGAGGCGTGTTTGCCAAAATAACATATTGCTGATGAAACAGGAAGATGTTTTTTCATTACCGACTTGTCTGAATTGATGTGATTTTCCATGGGGGAAGGTTTTCATCACAGAAGCATTAGCCAGGATAGAGTTTTGTACAGCTGAAGTGCTGTCACCTGCACTCCTAGGAAGGAACTAGGATTGGGACACCCACTCTGCAGAGGGAAATTTGACAAGTGCCACAACCTTCAGCTGTTAATTCTGTAAAATACCCACCCAAGGAAACGGGAGATTATTTCTGGGCAGGGCACATGCAAGAAATGGGTGCACTGCCCATTTATTTATTCAGTTTATTCAAAGCTCAGTTGGCTTTGAGAAAGGCTTGAGACCCAAACCTGGTTTCTGGGGGTAAAAGCAGAGTGGAGGAGGTGGATGAGGATGTTGACAAAATATTGTGTCCATTACTACCTACTAAAAGTAAAATGTCTGCAGAGTGCTTTGGAGTGCAAGGGTATTGATGCATCAAATTTAATAAGTAGTTAGTGACCTCTCAGAGTGACTTTAAGAAACATTAAGGAAAAAGTAATAGCTTAGATTAATTTTTTTTCTTTCACAAGGCCAAATTTGAAAATTAATCTGATCAGTGAGTAGTATCCTCCTAGATAAAGGATCCTAAGCTCCCTGGTTCCTATATTTGTGCTGAAAACCTAAATAAATGCTTCCAAGTCTGCTGTTACAAAAATGATGTTGCATAATACGAAAAGAAGGGAAAGAACTTAATTTTGTAAATATAATATTAACAGAGAAGAGAAGAGAAGAGAAGAGAAGAGAAGAGAAGAGAAGAGAAG